TTAAGTCTTTTATTTTATACTTTTAAGTCTATACTTTTAAGTCTACTTTTGAATATTTTGTAGTTTATCTAAACTTCTAGGAGTTTTTCAGTCATAACTCCTCAATTCATAAAGTTGACATGTCCTACTGCACCACTCAGCCATCTACCTAGATACTACCCACTGTTCGAGGAAGAAATTAATGTAGGCCATTTAATTGGTTATCCTAAACTGTGGGACATGCTTTTGCCAGACCCTCTTCCATAAATGTAAACCTTAGGTACAAAGTAAGTGACTAAACTGTGTAGTAAGAATTGTGTGGAAATGCTGCCTGGAAGAAATGAAGGACTCCTCTGATTCTATTCTATAATCAACAAAAAGCAAACTGAGCCTGAGGAAAACTTTCTCAGAAAAACTTAAGAGGTAGAACAAAATGAGATGTATCCTCATAGCCACTTCCTATTTGAATTGTTACAAAACTGGCTGGCTTGAGCCAGAGATGGAGGTACAGAAAGCGGTAAGTAGATGGGGAAAAAATTAAATCAATATGGATGACTGAAAACTGATTTAATGCACAAAACTCACTCAGTCTTCTCTTGCATTTTCTCTTGATTAAGTTGACAGGAACTGAAGATGAAAATGTTAAAACCTGACTTTAGTCTTCCACATTGCACTTAGGCTGCACTCATTTATTAGAGTCCCCTTCTTTGTGCTTCTGTAGGTCAGACAGCGCTTTGATGGCTGGGACTTCCTCCAAAAGTGTATAGGGTGTCCTACAAGGGCTGACAGCTGACAGTTGTCCAAACCTGATCATAAAATGATTTTATCTGAGTAGCATGTGAATGTAAATTAGCAACAATAATGGTGTGTAAAACTGGTTACTGCAAATGAGGAATCTGCAAGGAAGTAGAATCTATACCTCAAAATAGAGGAAAGACAAAATACACTGCTTTGTGTTGCAGGTGGTGTTCCATGCAGCTTTTACAATGCATTTCTCTTTCCATCAATGTCATCATGTTGGACAGGGAAGAATCAGGATCCCTGCCTGCCTATAACTGCTAGAAAATATCAAGGGTGAAAAAAAGAATATATATATATACATATATATATATAAACAGGGGAAAGGGAAGAGAAGGGGTGAAAATAAAATTCCAGAAATGTAATTCAATCAGGTGTGGTCAAAAGCAAGGTCTCAGAGAAAGCCCTTGGGTCAATTTAACACAGAATGGAAGGGCTACAGAGTTTGGAAGTCTCCCCGTGACTTAAATTACAGATGGTTTCCAGGAGTTTCCTTAATAAAATTTGTCTAGGGAGAAAATATTGGTGTCAGTGAGGGGAAAAAATCTGATTCACGGAAAATGGAAAAGAGAAAGGCAGCTTCAACCAGGACTTAGTCATCAATCTATTTCTTAGACAGAGTCTTGGCAAAACCCATTCTCCTGGTAGAACTTGCCTGGAGTAGGCCAGATTGATTTGACAGTCTCTTAGCCTAATAAATGCTTGACCTCAAGGTCTGCTGAATTCACTAAATTCACTATGCAGAGAGAATTGGGAACCAATCACCTCTGGGGAACATCCTGTTCTGCAGCCCTCCCCTGACAAAGGCCTTGACTGCTTTCAGCCTTATCGAGATGACTAGATGAAAGCTGCTCTCAGAAGAAGAAAGGTTAATCGACTATGCTGCTGTTAATCAATCACTTGGAAAGATTCAGCACTTACAATAGGTAGGTCCCTCTTCCTGCCAAGAGGTTCTTGCATGTTAACCAGGCACCATCTCCTCCAGTTTGAAGGATGTGTAATAGACAGAAACACAATCCAGATAGATGCCAGGTGTCTGATCCAAAGCCAGCTGAAGTCAATAGAAAGACTCCCAATGAGTTCAATGGGCTTGGATCAGACCCCAGAGAAAGACTTATTATCCAAGGTTTATTCTGCATACAGATATCAAGCTACTTTTAGTAGTGAAGGATCCTTGAAAAGAAGCAGATTCATCACATATTTGTCTCCCTGTGAAATCAAAGTTCTTCAAATCATACTGTGCCCCATTTACCCCAATTGTCAGATATGGCTGACATCCAGCAAAGGAAAATTACCTGCCTGTGACAGCAGAGACATGTGCAGACATTTCAAAACCTCTGAAAAGTACAGAAAGAAAAAATGCCAAAACTCTAATGTTTTCCTGGCCTTTTTGTAATTGCTGCTAGTCAAAATGATGGTTTTCTCAGAAGACAAAAAGCTAGATCAATTTCTGAAAGGATGAAGGAAAATTGAAGGAATAAAATTCAAAAGAGGGAATAAAATTCAAAAGATCATGCCATGGAGAACAAGCTTAGTGCTGAACAACCAGCTGTAGGCAAGGTGAAGCCAACAGAGCCAGAGAGAGAAAAAATTACAAAGAGAAAATGCATGTGGAGAAAAGTACCCCTGAAGATTAGGTACTTCTCTAAATTAACAGCTGTATTCAGCATCAACATCAACTGATGACAAAGCAGTGACTATCTCTGATGGCCATCTAAATGGAAGTGGAGAGTCTTAGCCTGTTGTTACAAACCCAGGCCCTCACATGCCAGCACAGAACCACTCAGTAACATGCCTGCTGCACCACACAGCCAAAAAGCCACATGGCAAACTGTTGAAACTAAAAGATACACACCTTCAGGACACCTATAACTACGTGTACCAGTTTATAGTTTATTGCAGAATCTGGTAAAGGCTTTTGCTTCTTCAAGGCATTGCTTCTGGTATTTTCTCACTACCAGTCCTACCCAAGGCAGACTCCTGGCCAAACTTCAGCCAGTCTCTACTCATCTGGCTCCTGCTGCTGCCAGAAGGCTTCAGGCTACTCAAATGCTGGAACAAAGTTCCTGGCTTAAAATTTTTGCTTAAGGAGTAACCCAGTTTTCACTAGAGGCAGATACCTGGAGTGGAAAATGAAGACTTTGGTATAGCAGTCTCATAAATCTGAAAATTTCAGCCTAACTCCACAGTTAGGTGTAATGTGCATTGCATCAAAATATACAAGCAGCAGTCCTCTAAGTAGCTTTCTGCTGTAAGACCCTAAAATTTGTTGTCTATAACCTTCGTATCAAAACAATGTCAAAAGTTAACAACCTGCCAAGATAAATGGGAATACTCTGCAGCTCTTCAGGTCTTGTTTCATGTTACTGCAGATGCAGATTCACAAAAACAGTGCCTTATCTTCTCAGGTTACAAACAGGATTTTCATAGCTGTAATTTGTATTTTTGAACAAGATTCTGCTATTACACACTTAACTGTATTGCAGCAATACCAGCAGGTCCTGTTGTGTTTGTTATGCTATGGGCATACACTGAACCACACTCCCCTGCAATTCTTTTGCCAGTGGTGGACCCCACTGTAGCCACAAAACTGAGAAGAAATTCAGATAAAAAGTGATATATTTCACCTATGACTATTCATTTCTTAACCCACAGCGGATGGACATAAGACACCTGCAGCTTGGTACTAATGCCCAAGTGAAGAAGTACAAAGTTTACTGCCTGATCAATTTTTCCTCATGTCATCTGGAATAGTATCCTACAAGGCCTAACTGCACAATCTTGGTTGCACTGAATTATAATATCTAAAGACAAAATCTCTTCTGTCGAAAAGGAATGGAAAGATGGATGGCAGAGAAATGTAAGGAAATGTCTGAGTGCTTTATTGACCCAACTGGCATCCTATGAATGGTAAGCAATAAAAATTTATTGAGAAATAGAAAAGTTCTTTCTTACCCTTATCACTATCCCCTCCCAAACTGTTAATGTCACAGAAAAACGCAAAATTCCCTCAAACCACATATTTAAAAATCTTGCAATTTTATTTGCATATAAAGGCCGCTAGATATAATATCACAATAAATTTAAAGAAACAACTGCTTTTCTAAATTCCATTAACAAGGTAACATAAAACAGAACAAAGCTCAATAGCATTTACAGTGGTAGAACAGAAATAACTATCTGCAACAATATTTTGTGCTAGCGAGATTGCATTTACACACAGTGCAAAATAAGAAAAAGGAAATAAAAAGACAAGAAGAATATTTAAATATAAAGGACAACTAAGCCTTATTTTAGTTAGGCTTGATTGTATCCATTTGACTCTATACATGCCTGAACTACGACAAAGATTTAACTCAGGCTCTTGAAGGCCTTGAGCACTTGGAAAATGTGTCACATCCTTCATAATTTAGATGTGCTGTACAGCATAATTTTGCAGATGCTATACTGGCAATATTAAACCCTAGCTTAGTTATAATGCACAAAAAATACATATATATATAAATTCATATTTTAAAGGAGTCCGCATTTACAATTTTTTCTTTTTACTGCATGAAATACCTGCTCTTTGCAGCTTTCACCCCCAGTCTTTTAAAGCTAAAATAACTTAAAAACAAACAATAAAAGGTAGATATCACATACAGACTGTGGCTATCTATATCAGTCTTTAACGTATAAATCAGGTAGAGACAAACAACTGAGAAGTCTATTCTCCCCTTGCTGCATCCTACTGTTAATAGAAACAAGTTTCAGTACATGCACACACATCAAGAGGTAAATGGACCCCAAAACATTGTTTGTGTTACTGAAAAAAAATGGATATAAATGGAGATGAAAAGCTAACATTTAGACCTAGGGAAAAAGAAGACACTTAAAAAACCCCGACAATAACATAAGTTGTGCAAATTTGGGTGTTTTTAAATGCTGCCTATTTTTTAGCTTATAATATAATATTAAAATAAGGTCTCTCACTTATTAAAAGAAAGCTTGGCTGTCCTTTTGAGAACACTATAACAGTTTACAATGGCAAATTTATTGAAAACCAAAATTCATTTTACAAATTCACAATGCTTTATCAATTTAAAATGAATGCTGCATTTCCAAAAAGCACAACCTCTAACTTTTCTTGTTTCTTTTGTACCAGCAATTTACAAAAAAAAAAAACCAAACAAAACAAAAAACCCAAACCCCACCCCAAAACAAAACCCCCATAGTTCCCCCAAACTTTCTCTCCCCCCAACCCCCCAAATTTTGAAATAAACATGTAACAGAATGTAAGTTTTATAATTAGAAAATGGCAGTTTATAGACCTTCCCCCAGTTCCAAATGTGCAGTAGTGCTTCATGATCCTTGAGGGGTTGGAAGGTCAAATATAATTGGAGGGTTGGTTGGTTGAAAGCTGACTGTACACGTTGAAGCATTGATGTACGTTGTGTAACCGTCTGTCATAATGCCATAACCTGTGGGGAGAATGTGTCACGCTTACTGTAATATAAACAAACGATACTGCCCGTGGGCAGCCGCACTGAAAGCTTGTTGCGGGATCAGTGCTTTGAAAGAAAATTAAATTAATCCCTTCAAAATGATACAAGTTCTTGAAAGCTGCCACAAAGGCCTGATTGAAAAAAATACAATGTACTGTATTCGAAATAAGAACTTACACTTTTGGTTCATGTACAAACTTCCCCCCCGCCCCCCATTAAAATCCTCTGTTCCAACTGGATGCAGCAGAAACAGGGACAAAACCATACATGTATTTTTTTCAAATTACTTAATTAGTGAGCTGTACTTTGCATGCCTGTAATGTCTATCATAAGACAACGACCAATCGGGAGCAAAAGATTTACAAGTAAGTTTGGTTTTGCCTACAAAAACCCTTCTCTGGGCAATGACCTGACCCCCATAAGCTTTCCCCGTGCTAGCCTTTATCCTCCGGTTCCTCATGGCAGGGCTGCCAAGCTGGTGTTCACGCTGGCCTGTGAAGTCTCCGAAACTCATCAGCAGAGGAAAAATATACACATGTATATATTTTTATATATATATAATGTTATCTACTACTGCAAATTATGACTAAGGAAAGGAATCTCCTGCTATAAACACAACAGAGCACTGGAGGTCAATGGATGACCCCTAGCTTAAGCACAAAACTGAGGTGAAGGTGAAACAGATGAGTGCTTTTCATTATGAAGAGGATCTTGATAACACATTCCCGAACAAAAAAGTAAGAAGCAGAGAAGATTAATCACAGGTTTTTCAGCATGCCAAGGACTTGACTCCTCAGTAACACTATGGCATCTGTATCAACATGCTGAAGACTGTTCTCAACCTTCTAAACATCTGGCCACAATGCTCTTGTTCAGAGGGCATCTGCGGAGCCCGCAGCGATGCTGCTTCTCTGCTGGCCTCTACCTTCTCTCCTGCTTTCCACACAGGAATAGGACATAACAGAGGATTGTGCACGCCAGTGATTTTGGGTAAATGGAGCAAACTATAACAACCCATTAACTGAGTCACACCTGAGCCTTCATTCAGGAAATATGATGTGAGAAATGAATGATAACAGAAGCAGAGAGATACTGAAAAGGCAGAAGCTCTCCTCTTACAAACATTTTCTCAAGGATAAGGAGATAGGGGCTCCAGTTCCACCAGTGCAAAAGGTGAGAGTAAGCTTTGCTATTGTTTTCAGCTGACATCCACAAAAAACTAACAAAGAAAATAGGAAAAAATCTAGGAAGAATTTGGCATCAGAACTACTTTTAAAAAAATAAAAATCTGAGTTTCATGGAGGAAGAGAACTTCCCATCGCAAACCCACAGGGGGAAAATGTTTTTCTTTTAAACCATTATGATACAATATAGATCACTGCTGTCTGAAAGCTAAGATAAATACAGCTACCCACAGTGTCTATCAGAAAGAATAATCACTTCAGAATTGCTGCACTGTCCACCTGTATTACTTTATTTATTTAGACTGGCAATTTTGATTTAGATCATCTCAGTAGTGGGAAAGACCTTGTTTGTGGTTGTTCTTGCTTATCAACAAAAAAACCCCCCTGCATCACTAAAATGTGTGTATAGCCTCTGCTGATTTAATGGAATGTGGTGCATGTTTGTCTCAGCTGGAGTTGGATGAGAATTAATTGCAATATAAGATAATGCTCTTAACTGGGCTGTTTCTTCCTGTTCTGAAACAAGCCATTCCTATGTCTTCTGCGTAAGTACTAAACAGGATTTTAACTTTTTTGTTAGTATCCTTGTAAGAATTTATTTGAACGTTCACTTTTAATATGTGCTGCCACCTTTCCTATGAGATTTAAATGTAAGGCGCTGCATGTGGTTTCTCAGTGCTTTCTCATAATAATGATCTTGTACATTAAAATACCTTCCTCTCCCATTACTTAATGCTATTACAACTAGCAGTTTCATCAATCAGTGTGCCTACAAAGGCTGTAGACAATTCACATGTTTTAGTTGGAAGTCTTGCTGTATTCATTTATTCTTAATATGCAAGGATTAATATTTGTACAAAATATCCAATAGTTTCCTGGGTGCATTAAAAGGCTGCTATTCATGACACTATACTTAAGGTCATGTCAGCATTCCCATTATAAACTCTTTATTTACAGATAACAGGCATGAAACTCACTCTATGAAGTCACAAGGGCTTCAGAAAAACCAACACCATTAGTTGAGAAAGATGTCTCATTTTTTATTTTTCTTTTATGAATTCCTCCAAATCTTTAAGCCTATGGAGAACCTAGTTAGAGTCAATGGAGAAACCTCCAGGGCGGACAATACAAAGCACTTAATGTGTAATTTTGAGTTCTAGGGTCACAAAGTCTTATACTCTCTCTCAGGCAGAACTCCTAGTGTTTGTCTCTCAGCCACATGAAAGCTACAAAACTGTATAAAATATTTAAGTATCTTAAAATCTTCAAATTGTATTTAATCTCTCAGTCTCTTCCACTGCCACAAACTGAGCTTATTGGTTCTGAAGCTGATCTGGTACTGACGGTGGGGAAATACCTCTTCTAAAATATGAGACTGCTGGAAGGTAACATACACAGTACAAACTATTACAGGATGCTTTTAGAAATGTATGCAGAGTGAGTTCTAGCAGTCTCTCCTCCTGCTGTCTGACTCAAGATGCCCTCCTTTCTGCTTTTCCCTATATGCTGAGGGAGGTGAGCTGAGACAGTAAGTTGTCTTCGATTTTATTTTTTTTCTTTTCTAGCACCTTTCTTGGCTCTTGTGTTTGGAATAATAGGGATCATTTTCATTTGGCTTGCAAGTATGGGGAATCTCATCTGTTTCTCCAACCAAGTTTGTCAAAATTTGAATTGCTTTCAAATAACCTGTATAGAACAACCTTTGCACAGTGAAAGATGTAGGTGGCTAAATGTAGCACACATTCCTGAAACAGTTTTAATTCTGGCATAAATTTACAAAGTGCTGTGCATGCAATCACTTCTCTCCCTACTTTAGCCCAATATGCCATGATCCATCCCTTGCAATACACCATCAAAATGTGCTTCTTTGAAATCAGCCTGAGATCAAAGAGGGGAGTAGTGCTGCTCCTTACCTTCATGAATCCCACCAAAGACATGCAGTTTGGGCCTTACTCGCCTCTGCACGGTGTTCAACAGTTCCACACAACCCACTCTCTGTAGCTCCTTTGGAACCCAGTCTCGAAAACCTGAAGGCAAAATGCAAATCAACACTATTAATTTTCTCTATTCAGGTAAGGTTTCACGTAGTCTTTCAGGAAGTCATAATTCACAGAAGGTTTATTACATTATCTGTAGTCGTAACCTCTCCATTAAAGCACACAATGGCTTTTAAGAAATCTTTCACTGTCACTTTGTCTTCCTTAAGATTTCCTTCCTCCATCTGCATTAATATTTTTCTGGATGTGATTTGGTTTTTTAAACTGCAGGTTTAAACTCATCTTCCACCTTGAAACCCTGGGACATTTATTCCCGGCACTGCTGCAGATTTTCCCTCCCTTTCCCCTGGCTCTTACAGCACGTTCCCAAGCCAGCTACGCGGTTACTCCAGAAATGAAACACCTCACGAGGATCAGCTGATCTACAACCTCTTCTACCCCAAACTTTTAAAATACAGTCTCCCACAGCTTACAGAGGAGCACAGTCTGCAAGTGCCGGTTTACTTCTGAGCCCGTGGTCACAACAATAAGCCATGAAGCAAAATAGCTTCCAACAAGCTAGTCCTAAATTGACTACATTGCCACTCAGTTCTACAGATAATATGGAAAAATGCACAAAACTTTACATCAGTTACTACAGAACTCTGCTGCCTGGACTAGCACTGATCAGGATCAGCAGTGCAAGATGAATGGGAAGGAAGAAAAGGGAAATCAGGAGCCACATCCAACTGCAGCACTGTACTACTGACTTCAGAGTAATTACACCCTGTGCCAAGTTTACCCCAGGTAGTAAAAACATGTTGTGACATGAACTTGACTGAATTTTGGAGAGAACAAAGAGTCCAGTTATGACTTTACCTCCCTTAGTATTTAAATAATTTTAAAAGCAGCATTTTGTTAATATTATCGTGCAGGCTGAGACCTAAACCCCACTCCTTTTAGGCACAGTACTAACACCATATCTGTGTCGTAGTTAAAATACAGTGTCAATCCTTTGAAATGGAACTTCATTATCAAAACCAAAATTTAATTATGCTTATTCAATTAAAGCACTCATTAGTGTCTGCAGCATCACAGTATTTCTGTATGAATCCAATTCAGAGCAGATGGATTAGCAACCCATTTAAAATAGCACCCATGAAACAGTATAAACATGCTTGTGGGGGGTTTTGCTTCTTTGGGAAAATAAACAGATTAAAATACGCTATTCAAAGTGTTGGTTTTCAATATCTGGTGTAATCCACACTCAGTGGATGGTGTATCACTGCTTTATCAAAGCAGCACACTGGTAGCTCTAGTAAGATTAAAGAGCATTTGCAGATCATCTTGCAACATTCTCTAAGTAGTATTTAAAGAGTAACCTGGATATAACAGGAGCTATAAGTACATTACTGGTCAAAAACTTTCTGGACTTTTTTTATCCTTAGATCTGCTTAGATTGCTGACTCTTAACTTCATTGTGGTACAAACCATAAACATGCATTAATTCCTGACTCTGCGGTCACTGAGTAGCTCTATGGGAGCACTGAGCCTGTCTGCTAGCACTTAAATGCTGTTACATAATGGCCCCTTGCAATTCTGAGAAGTTTTTTTTATATTCACTACAATCAGAGGTCAGTGCCTTCATGTGATCTTGTGATGATGTGACCCCCTGGATTTCAAGAGATTACTAAAACCCTAACAAAATCACAGTCTGCCAACAGTAACAATAAAGAAGAAGAGACTGACACACTTTCTTATCCTGATTAGCCATATTTATAGAAGGCAAATGCTCAGTTGTTGTACAACCATCTGAAAGATTTAAAATATGGTCCTAGACTGTGTGCCACATGTCAAAGAAAAGCAGTCGATAATGTGCAATACTATCTTGTGGGGTACGGGATAGGGAAAATTGTGGGAATTTTCAAATGGCTTTAGTGTAGGCTTTAATTACTTTAGATGTACCTTAACTGAGTGCTCCTGCTTCTGCTGAATGATCATCCCAGTGTCATTTTGAGACCATCAGAACTTAAGTTTAGAACTTAGAATTAAAAAGTGGCTCAGTGAATTACTCATATTTACAAGGCAAGCACAATTTAAGTAAATTAAAAACTTAATGGAAAAACAAATTATGCAGTCAAAGACTTGGGCTTACCTGTCATTAGTTTGAGTAAGGAACAATTATAAGAGAACATAATTTTATTCCTTGACAAATTTGCTATAAGCCAATCAATATCTCTAAACCTACTGGTACATATTTTAAGTTTACAAGGACATTATCAAGGAGAACATGTGACTACATACTCCTGAACTCCTGACTGCATACTCCAAAACCTTAAGGTAACATGTCACTGTAGTGGAAAAATGTTTTACAAGTTCTAGTCAATCTCTGAAAAATCGTACAGGATTGGAAACTGTTTGTCAGATGAATGTGAAACTATAATGGCTATTGAGTCAGACATTTGATCTTACCTAGCTCAAGTTTAACAAAAAAAATTTAGCTTTCATTAAGAAAACACCTGGAAGCTCAACAGATCTGCTAAGCATAATCATTGCTTTACACTCCTTCCAAGGAGGCTCTTTAATTCATAGAGTTAGGGTACGATTACAGTCTAGCTTATAGCATTATTAATTTTGCTTATTTTGAAAGTAAAATTCTCATGCAAAAAATCACACACAGCTTTTGTTTCACTTACCAAGGGGAGGTCCATGTGTCATTAGTATATCAATTCCCTCAGGAATAAGGTTCCACTTGTCTAGCAAAGACTGACCTCTGGGTAGGTTAAAGCCCCATCCATTAAACCACGGTGTCCTTTGGGGGAAAATAAGATGAACTGCATCAGTGTAAAATAAAAATCTCTTCCCTTCTCCAATTGTTCTGAAATAAAACAATTTATGTGCTTTAGAGATTATTTGCAGACAGTCTTTTTGAAGGGGATCCCTGTAAAAAAACCTGGTTCAAATACATACATACATACATCTATATGTTTTAATTTAGATTAATATACTATGATCTTTTTGTAATTCAAGAATATTCAGCCCTGGGGGTGTTTACTCACTAGAGAGAAAGGGAAAAAAGTTAAAATGACACAGTCTAAATCTAGAGGCTTTTTTCAGAGTTTGGGGATGTTCAAACTTAAGAACTTCATCCTTATATTACCTATCAAAACAAACAAAAAAAGCTCAAAAGTTTTTTGGAGGCAAGAGTCAACTTCTCGCAGCACAGGGCAGCTAGCGGGTAACAGCTCCTCAGGAAGGCTGCGTGAGGCAGCGGTTATAAGCACCATCTGCATGACGGTACTTCATTAAACTCAAACTTGCTCCTTTCAGTACTTTTAATATCAGAACATTGTCACATAGCTTGGCCTTGATCTCCTGAGCCGCCTAGAGGTCTTGATCACACAGTGTTTAGCCTCACAATGACTTTTTGAAGAGATCTTGTAGCTTAAAATTCACATAGTATTTCCTAAGGAGAACCGAGATCCTCAGCCTCCTCCACATAGCGTTGTTCTGAGACACTGGTTTATCCATCAACCCAAGTACATAGTGATGAAAAGCAGACCTTCTGGAAGTACTTTTTCCATGCGTAACAGCCAAATTGAGTAATTCTGATGCAGGTATATTGTAATAAAGCCTTCCCTTATCAGACAGGTACACAGAGCAATTGTTCTCAAGAGACATGATAATATTTACACCTGTTACTAACATTGGTTTATACAGCTGTTAATATCGTACTAATTTTAAGAGTTTTCACCCATGTGTGTGTTTCTTAGAGCTCAGGCAACAGATTTAGACTTAATTTTCTAGGTAGGATGCACCTGTCCTAGCCCCAGTCATTTGGGGGCATCTTTCTGAGAGTTCAGGCTACTCCTGCAGTCTTCCATGTACTGCAGTTCTGAAAATAAATAAATAAAAATTGGGGGGAAAAAAACAATCACAAGCCAACCTTAAAGAAAAGCATACCTGTTAAAAAGAGAGAGAGCAATAACAGTCCTATGTAACTTCATTATGTAATCTGCCTCCTGTACCTTCTAAATCATGTATTTTTCCAGCTCCAAATATTCATTTAAGTGGAAATTTCCTGCTGTGATTAAATCTCAAATTTTTATTTTTTGTAATTAAAGTATTTCATTTTCCATAGACAATAATTTGACCAGTGAATACTATACCAGTTACATGTTTGGTTTGAATTCCTGACAATTAGCAGTATAAGAAAACAGCAGGCACTGCTAATATAGTGGCAGGAAGGTCACTAGTGCCTTTGTAACAAGTAACAGACATATCCTATGTAGTCCTACAGAAGTAATATGTATGCTACACACACACAGGAACTCGTTCAACGGAGCAGACTTCCTGGATGCTGGATGAACACTAACGAAAGATGGGGAAATTACATGTTAGTTAAATATTTTATGTGAGCTACGGATTCCTCACATGAATAGCAATGGAACTTCACCTCTCACTGTTGGCTTACTCTGCACCCACTGAAACACCTAAAAAAGTTCATATATTGTAAAGTAAGGCCAGTGTACCTCACAAGAGGTTGTATGCAACTGAATTAAAACTGAAGCATGTGCCCTAAATCACAAGTGTTTCTGCTTTTCTATGATTGACCATTCTGAAACAAGTATTTAAATTTCCTTTCCTGTAGTGTTCCCCAGTTTTAATGTATCAAGATTATTGTAACCTTCAGGGCTGCAGTTAAAAGTTAAAATATGGTTTGGCTAAACATTCGGCTGCTTAAAAAAACAAACACAGAGCACATAGGTTGAACTTTTAACTGTCAATTAATGATTCTTTCCCCACTTGCATTTCTCCTGCAGATAATACTGTAGTTATTACACCATAGTTAAACCTGAAATGTGAAACCACATCTGTGATCTCTCTGGAGCTCTTTGGAGACTACAACCACAAAAAATCCTGGATTTGTCTGCAGGTTTTTTATTTTATTTTCTTCTGAAGTACTGGGGGAGGAGGAGGAGGGGAACCTGAGCTGCAATATATTCTTCATTCAACAGCCTCTGTAATTAGCTGTGACTAACAGGCACCACATGGGAATCTACTTGTAAGAAAACTTTGGAGAAACCTTCCTCATTATGCGGCATGTGCAGAAAAAAAGACGGTCAAGTACTTCTTTAATATACTAAATATTTTCATACAAACTGAATAAATCAAGAAGAGGAGCAGGCATGACTGGAAGAACACCTGGATTACAGATTTAGGTTTCAGGCATCTAAAACACAAACCTGTATTGCATATTCAATGAGAGTACTGTGCCCCAACTAGGCAAACTTTGAGTCCCTGGGTTTCTCAAGTGGCTCAGGCCTCACCAGAAAGCCAAGAGGAAAGAAGATGTGTTCAGAACAACACGAAGAAGAAAAACAGCTTTATGGCTCAGATTCACGTTTAGATGAGATCACAAGGAAGGTCATCCGATGTTTGCACTACGCTGTGTTGCAGTGCAGACAAAATGGAGCTGATGTACTATGAATCCCCTGAGTGGACAGATGAATAGCTGTTTACCCCCAGCTAACTTTAAATGTGTGCAGGAAAGACAAAGCCTGACCTGTAGGTAGGTAGCATCCTATCAGGGGGTATCAGAGAGAGATATTTTACTCCTATTAGTGCTCTTTTTTGCATATGTAAGGGTTAAATAGTTGCTCTCAACTTCTAAATAATTTAGAGGAAAAAAATTGTGCGTGTAGTTACATGCCTTCTGGAATATATTCGCAAACGGCTTACTGGGAGAAACCACCTCATACCTAGGAAGAAATGTCTATAATGAACTTTGGCTGCACCCACCTGTGGTAAGATGCAATCAGATGCAAATAATTAGTAAAGGCCACTTAGTCATTAGTAACCATATTCAAGATCTGACCTATTTTTCTTTCCTATGAAGCTCCATGTAAAATATTTCAGTTAACTCCTAAAACCATTAGTAGTATACTTCATTTTTAAGTAGCTGGAAAGAAAAAAAAAAGCTGTCAGCTGTTGAATAATGCCACAAGGGAGGCATAGACATAAAAACCACAGGGATTAGTAATGAGAGATTACAAATTATTTTGTCATTTTACGTTTGACGGACCAGAACACTTCCTCATACCCAATGCCTGGTGTGACGCAGGTCCTGCTTGCCCGGCGTGTCAGCCTGTGTCTGGGAGAACCTAATTGAGCCTCTGCTTGTCAGAACCATGCTGCACTTCATGGCATCCTTCACGTGCCATCAAACCGTCACGGTAATTCTTGATCCCTGGCTCACTTGACAGCTCAGCCCTCCCCTGACTGCAAAGCTTCCTTATCATTTAGAGATAGCAGTTATGCTGGCACCAGATGTGACACAGAATATCCTCATAAAAGGCAGACACCTGGCCCATCTTTACTCCTTTAGTTCTTAATTTCTATGCAGGAATCCCCACAGATCTCCCTCCACATGCTATTCTGGAAGTTACATTTTCTTTAATTAAAAAGATGCTCAAGCAGTAGGCTGCACATTATCTTCACACCTTGTGCTGCAAGAGATGCAGACATCACTTGACATAATACCAAGGAGGAGGGCATCTTAAACTTTGTGACAAGGCTCACCCTCCTTGTGCAGGTGCATTGGGAGAACTCCCCGACAAGATACACAAATATATCTGCTTTTAATGGCAGAGAGCTGCCTCTTCAGTGGGTGACCGGATCTCCTTTCTCCCAAGTACCTTTGTATGGTTTTACTCTTCTACTATTACATTAATACTACTACTACTAATAATAATAATAAGCACAGGGATGGAGCATTACTTTATGACACAATCACCACCACTCCTTGGTGTATACACCTCAGAACCAACACTGTTGCATGGGGAAACAGGAGCCACAAGGCCATGGCCAAATTCATCCAGATGATACAGGAATTTCAACTCCTTCTGGAACTTTAACACTTTTAAAGGATGGTATTTTCTACTACCTACTTTCATCTCTTCTCTGGCTCATTTAACTACTTGATCCTCAGAGTTCAACAACTCAAAAGATAAATGTACAATGACATCTTCTAGATTCAGGTTTTCCTTTTACCTCCACCAGTTTATCCATTTATTTCAATAGTTTCTTCTAAACAGAAAAAAAGAAAAAAATTACCTCACAAGTTTTTAACCCCATGTATTCATTCATTCTTAAGGCTACCCAGTCTTTTAGGAAAGCTTCAATTTTATCCTTAACCCAGTAAGTAAAGTGTTCAGGGGGCAAAAATCTCAGTCTGTTTGCTTCCACAGGGTAACAGCAAAAGGGGTGTCTAAAAGGCACTGCAGCAGGAAACACTTCAACACAGATAACAACAATAATGAAATTCTTTTTATTTTTGTAAGCATTCAAATTGAACACAGAGACCTGGCTCATGAGGGAGATAGAGTTCCATCAGCAGAACAAAAACAGTGGGACAGGACACCAATATGCACTCCTGGACTTGTTCAGCTACAGGACTAGCCTGCACACATATCCCCAAAGTATCTACTACAGTCCCCAGATGAAAGCTGCAGCAGTGCAGTGGACTAGCAGAGAACAAACTGCAAAGGGGGAAAAAAAAGTGACCTTTGTGCACAGAAAAGAAAAGCCTTTCAATCCTCCTCCCCCCGTCCCGAACGCCATGCACAAACGTTTGCCAGGGCAGAGCAGCACACACGTGCCCGTCTCCATTCACTCAATGGATAGAGTGTGCCTAGTGGGAATACACAAAAAGGGATTGTAGCGTGGGGAGAGGGAGAAGGGGAAGGAGAGCTTGTGTAATCATGGAAACAAAAGGCTGAGTAGGGCAAGTGCACAATGTATTAAGGAACC